GGGCAATTGTTGTACGCACGCGGCTTTCAAAGAGAGAAATTCCAATCAAATGCCAAGCCTGCCATCTTTGCTGGGTTTCGTCTAGATATAGGTTCCACCTACAAGGGTGTATACTTAGTCCTAGACTGCAAGGCGTTGAAGGAGCTGTCTCCAGGTTATCAAGTAGCCATGAGCGTTCCTTGTGAAGAAGCATTCGAACCCGAGGGTTCGCCCGTCATGCCATTGCACGCAGCTTCACAAGCAGCATTGATCATTGGTCAAATTCGGTGGCCGAAACTTGGAAGCAATTCCAAATATCGACGTGCCGTTTTCGTCGTTGGAACTTACAGCAGCACCTCGAGAGAGGAATGAATATATAACGCTTGATAGACTATCAAATATGGTGGTGCAACAGTTTGTGGTGCATGCGCAAAAGCTGGAGGTACACTAGTACACACACTGCCTTCTGCAAAGCACGTTTTAACGGTTTGATCAGAGCAGACAAGATCGCCTCAGGACACAGGACACCAAAAGCTTTGGGTCCAGAGCCTGCAACCCCAATTGCAGCGCCACCAGCTCCAGCTATTGAAGCTCCTGCCGAAGCTGAGAGAATGCCTGAAGTAGGTGAAGAGGTTGGTTTTGAAGGTGTTGCTTTAGATCATCTTCCGTTTAGCGCCGGTATTCCACCCGCAGAAGAGGCTGGCATGATCGGAAAGATCAGCACAGAAATAGATCATGATTTCCAAGAGTCAGATAAATTGCGTGGTCATGGGAGAAGAGCGTCAACAGAGCCAGGTAAAAATAGCTTGTTCGAATATGCATGTAGTGATGACTCCATCATCGGCCAGAAAGCAGAACAATGTGGAGTCCGATGCGTTCGCCTGTCCAGGACCGTGTTAGACTTGGAACAAGTCGCTGATGTCAACCAAGCCACCGGTCAACTTGAATCGATGCCAGGTGCTGATGTTTGGACGTCACTAACATGTACATACCACTCACCCCTTCAACATCTAAATGAAGCTATTCATGGTCGTGAGTATTCTAAGAAACTTCGCAAAGCCAGAAAGCGAACCATGAAGATGTTGGATCTTGCAATACCATTCTTGAACGCGCCATCCAGAATAGTGGACGCATTGCTGTTGAATGGCCCAGAAGCGATAGCCTTTGGAAAGCCCAAACCTGGATAAACTTTATGAAAAGGAATAACCTCAAATGTTCACTTTGATGGATGTGCTTTGGGTTTGAAAGGTCGGCATCAAGAGTTCTTGAAGAAACCATGGTGCGTTGCAATAAATGACATGAGATTGTTGCAGTACTTTGGCCAGTATAACTGTCCAGGGGATCATGAACACGAACCAACACAAGGAGCCAATGCAGTAGACTCTGCATTCTACACCGCTGAGTTTGCAGAAGTGTTGCTTCAATCATGGTATCCACACCTTGCATTCAAGTCCATCCCATCAGTGTCCGCCACACAGCATGCTTTTGTCACCAAGAATCTGTCAAGGTCCGAGTGGACTAAGGATGAGAAAGGTGTCAAGGCAGTTTTGGAGGAAGCTCACGGGCTACACATGGGACGACAGCTCCATGACCACACTGGGTAATTTGAAACACCAAGCCAAGGTGACCGGAGTCTCACTAAAGATTGCTCCATTGCACATACTTTGTGGCATCAAACAAGGGTGAACAACCCTTTGAAGCACATAAATATAAGGGGAGAGGGATCTAATAAAGAACGAAGCTGATGAAATAGTGCTGTACGCTGACACAGCAACGACACCTACAGCTTTAGTGGCCCTAAACTTGGCACTCTTTTATGGATCCTGCGAGCACAACGCTATTTCCTTCTCAGATGCCGTGCAGGCGTTCTTGCAAGCTCCAATTGAAGAAGAAACGTGGGTCATCGTTCCTTACGAGCTGTGGCTCGAGGAGTGGAAGACCAAGTATCCAAAGGACGCCAAGCTGGTTGTTTATGGGCACCCACTTGCCGGAAAGCTATGGCAGGCATTCTTGTCAGACAAGTTGAAACAGACAGGAGGGATAGAGTCAGAACTATATCCAAGCAATTGGTTCTTCCGTCGTAAGGGCCATACTCTCTTACTCAACATATATGTGGACGACTTGGCGCTAAGTGGACGAGATCTTGTACGACTCGATCCAGAGGTGTTTATCACTCAAACAGGTTCATTGATTTTTTGTAGAACCCACAAATTCGACAGACATGAAAAGGGGTCCACAATGCACTTTGACATGACTGTCATATGCACAGCAAGTGCTTTCCTTCTATTGTGATCTGTGTGGTATCTCAGAATCATCATTGAAAGCGGTGTCTTCACCTGCTAGAGAGCAATATGAGCGATCAAGAAGCAGAACAATCAGACAATCAGGCGTACTACAAATTGACGCGACCAAAGCCTTGATGAGGTTGCTGTGGCTCAGTCGGCTGAGCCGTCCAGATCTATCCTTTGCTGTATGCAGATTAGCATCCAACGTATCTCGATGGAGCAAGTGGGATGATCGTCAACTTCACAGGGTTGTGTCATATTTCAAAACTACTATCTCATATCTTTGTTGTGGAAGTGTCTCCTATGGTTATATGCCAGTCCCCCATGCATATAGTGATGCCGATTTCGCGTCTTGTCCTTGGTCAGCAAAATCTACCAGCGGTATAATGCTTGGAATCACAACCGGTGAATTTTTTCACAGTTTTCCACCAGAGCAGAAGCAAAGCAGCGTGGCAAGATCAACACCAGAGGCGGAAATGATCGCCTTCGCAGCGGCTTTGTATGGAGAAACACTACACATCAAGGAAACTCTGGAATACCTCTTTGAGCAGTGCATCCCCACAATGCTTGAACAGGACAACGAAGCAGTCATAAAGATAATCCAAAATAAGTGCTCAGCACGCTTACGACATTGCAATAGAGTGCACAAAGTCAACATGGCAAGCACCTGCGAAACTTTGGAATCGGAATCGTCCTTGAAGCTCCGGTATTGCAAGTCCAGTGAACAGCTGGCTAATGCTTTCACGAAAATCTTGGCTCCCATCCATTGGCATCTGACACGCTACTAAAAAAAGATCTTGGAATTTCTGACACCTTCAATCAGCAACCGTGTTCCCCGGGATCCTGCCGTTCCCTTGGACTTGCAAAAGCGCTACTGTTTGTTAAAGCTGCGCCAGTTTTGGCAAAAAAAGTTCACTGCAGCAATCTCATTTTCGGGGCCGTAAACACATTGGCTTTTTCGATTCCAAGAAGTGGTCCTCCCCAGTTGGGTTGAAAGCTTGCTGCTCAAACAAAGCCCAACTTTGATCCACTTGTGTCATGCGAGACTTCCTTCAAAAATGGAAAGTTGAGTGCAGAGCTGACGGCCTCGTGCCAATGCGTTTTGCGAATTTTCCATTCCACGTGTCTAAAGTGGCGTGCCTGCCACGAAAAAGTGATGCCAGGTCATACGAAGTGCTGCACCTGACGCGCAAAATCACCTTAGCAAGCCTGAAGGCCTGATGCTCCAAAATGCAGCCCCTCTCAGGAAATGCCTCTTGTATTGCGCCTGCCACGCGAAATGCGTCTTGGCGGATCCTCTTCAAATGCCCCACGCCTGCCATCGTTTTTGGAATTTCCCGTTTTGTTTGGCCGGGTGCACAACCTCTTGCGCCTGCCACGCGAAACGACATCCGAACGTCTAAAAGTGGTCCGAGCACGTCAGTTTTCAACGCTGTTGACTTCGAAATGTGCTTCGCGCTACACCGGTGTGCACTTTTTGAACATCTGAACTGCCAAAACTGCTCTAGACTCTAAACGTGGTGTGCTTTGTACGTACGAAGCACAGAAATGTCCTTCGCGCCACAACGGCGTGCACTCTTTAAAAAAACATTGGAAAAACAGAGTGTTTCACGACCTTTTTTACCTTTTCGCGCACCTGCATCTTCTTTCCTTTGACTCTTTCTCTTCTCTGATTTTCTTTCTTCTTCTCTGATTTTCTTTCTTCTTCTCTGATTTTCTTTCTTCTTCTCTTCTCTCCTCTCCTCTCCTCCGCTCTGCACTGCGCTGCTCTGCTCTGCTCTGCTCTGCTCTTCTCTTCTCTTCTCTCCTCTTCTCTTGTCTTCTCTTTGCTTCGCTTGGCTTCGCTTTGCTTCTCTTCTCTTCTCTTCTCTCCTCTTCTCTTGTCTTCTCTTTGCTTCGCTTGGCTTCTCTTTGCTTCTCTTCTCTTGTCTTCTCTTTGCTTCGCTTGGCTTCGCTTCGCTTCTCGTCTCGTCTCTTCTCTTCTCTGACTCTTCCCACCTTTGCTTTTTCGTCTGTTCATATTGTCGGAAGTTTGACTTCTAAACTGCCTTCGGTTAGCTATTGCAATAGCTTCCGGACAATGCACGCGCACAAAAAACGCCTCGGAATTTTCAGTGCTTGCGGATTTGCAAGTGCCAGCCTGATTTGGATTTGGTTGGGCCCAGGCCCTTCGCGGTGGTATTAGCCGAGCCGCTGCCAGAATCAACGCTTCGGAGCAGCTTTACTTTAAAGGAGAGGTTTGTTGGTGGAACAGGCCGGCTACAACATAGTAAGGTTAGATGATCTTGGTGATGAGTCAAATTAACACACAGATACTGGGAAGGGTTCGGGGAAGGTCTGACACTTTGTCCCTTTGTCCCTCTGGTTGTTTTGTTTCCTCGCAGGAGCTCCAGTTCAGACGTTGCAGGGAAGCTCAGCTTCTTTTTTCCGGGAGATGCCAAGCCGTGAGCCCCTAAGAGGATGACGTGAAGGGACCAGGAAGGAGCAAATGTGGTTTGGATATCCTTCGCCGTTTCAGTTCAAAGGCTTCTGGCGGAGGGATACAGCATCCAAGTTAAGCATCGAAGGCGTTGGAGAGGAAAAGTAGTTTTCTAGTACATCTCAGTACTAGGCACTTGCCAGATACATTCATTCCACTTTGACTATGCTTCAGCATGCTACTGTATAGAATAGACATGTTTTTTTTTTAAATCCTTGTGGTATAGGTTGCCGAGATTTCGGACTTGGTAGCTGGCCATGGAGTCTGGCGGCAAGCCCGGAGTGGACAAGATGGCAGGTCTAGCTGAGGAGGTTTTGATGAAGCACAACAAAGCGATGTTTGAACGCTTGGACCAATGGCTTGATCAGCTCAATGAGTCTTTGAAGGTACCTCTGACAGCCAGCTCGGGGAGAGCAGGGCTGGAGCCTTCAGCTGCGTTGCCTGGCATTGTCGCTTCGCTGAGTTTGCCAGTAGCATCACCTTGCCTATCCTCGGCCATTTCTCCTTTAGACTTTGAAACCATATCTGATAGGATGCTGCCCGAAGCAGAGGAAAGACCACGGGTGCCACTGGGAAGGATGGACAGTGCAGCGGAAGGTGAGGCAAGACTTAAGGCGGAAAGGATGTCACTGCACTTTCAAGAGATTGAAGAAGCCGACGCGCAGAAACAAGAGGCAGTTGAGTTAGATACTCGAGTGCCAGCAACTTGCCAACGTTGGGCAGACAGGTGCTTGAAAACCCAGACGGCTCACATTTTCTTCGGCCTTGTCGTCGTGTCGAACTCCTTCTACTTGGGTGTGCAGCTGGAATTCTACGCCAACACCAAAGACTATTCCTCGTTGTCAGATGTTTTCATGAGCTTGCACATCGTTTATGCTGTGCTCTTCACATTTGAGGTTTGCTTGCACTTGGCAGCTGAGGGTGTGATAAACTACTTTTGGTGTGAAGACTGGGCCTGGAATTGGTTGGATACTTTCGTAGTAACTTCTTCGTGGATCGAGCTCATCATTGATTTGCTTTCCCCAGGAGATGGTTGACGGTGCACAGATGTGTTGAGGTAGAGGACATATAAGTACAAGTAATATACATATTATACAAGTATTTTCTGGCATCCTCCCCCTCTCTCTCTCTCTCTATCTATCTATCTATCTATTTATCTATCTATCTATCTATCTAGCTATCTATCTATCTATCTATCTATCTATATTTTTATCTATCTATCTATCTATCTATCTATCTATATTTTTATCTATCTATCTATCTATCTATCTATATTTTTATGTCCCTATATCTCTATCTATCCAGCTATCCATCTGTCCATCTATCCACCTATCCATTTGTCTGTCTCTCCATCTTTACATATATCAATCTCTCCATTTGTCCATTTGTCCATCTGTCTATCTATCCATCTATCCCTCTATCCGCCTACCCATCTTTGCATTTATGCATCTATGCACCTATCCACTTTTCCACCTATCCATCTAACAATCTATGCATGTATGTGCGTCTGTGTGTCTGTGTGTGTGTGTGAGAAACCCTGAATCAAAGGGAAAAGCAGGGGGCCCGTGGACGCATAGATGGCACGGGCCAACGAAGACCCATCTATGTCGTCGTGAAAACGTACCTGCGTCCGAAATGGCAAGGTGGCCAAGCCAAAAACCACCCAAGCCGACATGTCATGTCATGACATGACATGACATGACATGCTAATGTAACAACACGACATGACGGTTATCATTTCATCTCATTTCACCCTCTCCATTATGGAGTTTACCAAAGTGTGTCTTTCATGCACCCGGATCTCTGACAAAGTGCCGGGGAAGCTTGGTGGTGCGTCCGCCGGGGATACCAGGTTACAAGAATAAATCCAGACATAATGTTGCCAGAAGCCAGTTCCGCACAAGCATCCAGAGTTCGCACAAGCATCCAGAAGACTCCATCAGGGGATTGAATGCTTTTCAGAATAAATCCAGAGTCCATGCCAGAATAAATCCAGAGTGAAATTTTCATCCCTCAGAATAACCCCGTGTCATCCCATGCGGTTCTACATGTTTAACTAACACGACCGTTTTTTTTTCACTCTTAACCTTGGCCTCTACACATGAACTAGTAGTATGATTGCAACACGGATCCCATGCATGACTGCTCGCGGCTTTTTACAAACATGACTCGATAGCCTCACTGAGACCAATTTGGTTAGTTTTCGCGTAGTTTACATGGTGCAACATGAAAACCCTGTACATGAATCATCGCGTAGTTCACATGGCGCAACATGAAAGCCATGAACATGAATCATCATGCCATGGTGACTAATGACATGAGTTAGATAAATTTCGACTTGACATCATGGCCACATTGAAGACTGACATGTGCAGCGCTTGCAGCTTCGTGATTCCGACCATGCAGCCCGCGATGACGGCAGCTGATTTGTTTGCCCAGTGGATGAGTTCAGCATCACACAACGCACAAGCATCAGCACCTTTTCTATCAACATTCTCTCAAACTCCACAACAACATTATCCAGCCGGACACACCTTACCACAATCAATGCAACCACAGTGTACCACAGCAGATTTTACACAGCCTTTTGCTCCAATTCCACAACAACAACAACAACCACAACTTCTGGGACACACCGTCCCACAGCCAACACAAGCACCATGTGCCACCTCTGCGTTTACACAATCTCCATCTTTGCACACTTTCAACACACCACATCACAGCACAGCCATGCCAGGTTTTCAGCCACCACCGCATCACAACGCAGCCATACCCACTCCTCAGCTCTCACCACCACAATATGGATCACTCCTCAATTACCAGCCTACACCACACTCAACAACCACGACACTAGTTCAACCACTACCAGCCACACCATTTTCACAGCAATTTCCAACCACTACAGCTTCAACGCCACCAATGAGTCACAACAAGCACAACCGTACACGATCTCGCACCACACGCAAGAAGCACAGATCATCCACCACCAGACGACACAGACGCAAATCGACGAAACGACATCACTCCCATTACAGATCACGCCACAGATCCACCACACTACGTTCCAGACACCACAAGTCAAAACACCGATCACAACGTCGACGCCGGCACCGTTCACATCGCAGGCAACATTCTTCACACACTGACAGGTCCAAATCCAACCATCGATCACACACCGGACACAAACCAGCAGCATCTTCTCAGCAACACACAACACCACAACACCACATGTCACCACTACCACCACCACCAACAACACAACTACCACCTCTTCCACCACCACCGTTACCATCAGATTACACAGGTAAACACCTGTTCTCCACTTCTCCTACTTCTCATCAACAACAACCACCTCCGCCGCCTCTTCTGCCTCCTCCCACAGTACCACCACCGCTTAGCCTGGCTGACAAAATCAGGTCCATCGCCAAGTCCAAGAACACTTACAACACCACAACATCAACGACTGTCACAGCAGGACAAGTCCACCTCACACCTCGCCAGCAATACACACCACCAACACCACTTGACACTACCAACACTACCAACGAACCACAGCCAACACAAGCAATTGATCACCTTGAAGAAGCCATCGAACGACAAATACAACAGGATCCGTCAGTCCTCATTCCGTGGGAACCTCCCACACGTGACAGCTACCAGATATTCAATTACCAAGAGCTAGAGCAACGCCTTCACTCAGCAACACTCCGAGCCCGTGAGCTCACAGTACCGTCAGTATACTTCCGATTCTTATCGGATCGGGACAAAAGTGTACGTGACATGAAAGAATGGTTGGAAACACGATTTCCAGCAGGCACCGACCTACCAGAAGAACACATCACCACAACGTTAGCAAAGTACATCGTCACAACCGGCATGCCTATTAACAACACACTCACCCACATCACATTTCACCAGCACCAACAATTCAGAATATGGCAACTCCACTTAAAAAACATGCCACGCAACACCGCAATATCACTATCACAAGCAGGAAACGCCTACTACCATTGGGCACATGCCACAAGCGAATCGGGATTCTTAGGAATCCTACTCCATGGCCTAATCCTACCAACATGCTCTGAATCCATGGATGGCCGAAAAGTTCATGGCTTCTTTTGCAGTGCCACAATGGAACAGGACAACCTCATCCACAAAGTCGTCCATCGATACCTCAGCGGCAAAAGCCATGTACCATTCATCCTCACAGGACAATTGTGGGGCACACACAAACCAGTACCCACAGGAGGAACATGGGCCGAACAAGAAGAAGTGGACACTCATGGCATAGTCCACAGACCACGGGATCGACGTTGGTGCATTCACTCAACACTAGCACACATCTCCAGCATTTGGATCCTTGAGCCTGATCCAAACTTCTCCACACCAGCACAGCACACACTTGCGCATGAAGATGGGTTTGGCGAGCCGCAGCTGCTGCCGACAGATGTGCAAATGAGAGGCTGCTGACGCGTCAGTTTCACCTCCATTTATACTATAATATGATATGCTATTTTTATCGAATTTACTATTTCTAGAGAATCTCCACCTTCCTGCAAATATAATGTGTCCTTGTGATATAAATAATATCCTATTTGAAATCTTCCCAGTGACACGTGGCATAGAACATATCAGCGGAACCAGCAAAAAGAGCCGATGTACAGTGTACTTCCACCAAGCCGTTTGCAATTGTTTGAAGGGTTTTGCCGACATGTCGTCAACCATTGTAATTCAAAAATTCACATGCGTTAACATCGTTGATGTCATCAAATCCTAATTACCTAATACAATTTTGTTTGGATTTGTTTGGATTTTGTTTGGATTTGTTTGGATTTTATCTCTGATAGCAATCTCTGTTTCAGAATTGTTTCTGATAGCAATCCTCGTGCTCAAAAAAGTAGATATTGTAGCGATCATCAGGACACCTTCACGTTTCTTCGTCGTTTAAGTGCAACCATGACCTCGTGGCGCGGCAGCATGGGACCGTATGATTCTTGGCATTCGAAACAATACCAAGTCAACACACCACCAAGAGCATATCAAGCACACACACAACACCAGCAGTGGAACGAACCACCCAGCCCACAAGGCACAAAGCGGTACGACCGCAACTTACCGAGCAGTTTTCAGCCAGACAATGAACATTTTGACACCAAACACCAGTATGGCTTGACGTTTCCACGCCAAGTCACAGCCACAGCTTGGAGTCAAAGGTACCAACTTGCAGGCCGACCCATCGAAAGTGTCCACCTACATGAATTGGCATACATGGGATGGTCCAATTGGAACCTACGCGCCTTAGCCAGCGGGAAATTCACATCAATAGTGTTTGCCCGCAGCATCAAAGAATCCATATTTTTCATCACCTTTCCGTCAAACTTCGTGATGAGCACATCGACCTTGATGATGTAGCAGCAGCATACTGTGATCAACAAGGCATCACAATCACTGATCCAGACCCAAACCAGTTGAAGAAAACAAAAATCCATCACTTGGTCAATGGAACCATGGATTACTTCCGCCAGTTCACCAACACCAGCCTCCAAGATGCCCAAGCCAAGATTCGAGCACTTGAACAACAGCTTCAAGCACAAGGTCACACCACATCCAACAACCAGCTTTCGGTTGCCGAAACGCAAGAACAAGATCTCACACACGAGCCAGACCTACCAACACCACCAACCAACCACGAACCACGCACGCCACCAACCGCACCTAACAAACGAACAGCACCAGCAACCAAGGTCACACAACCAGCTACCAAGAAACCAAGAACATTACAGGACATGGGCATCAAAGCACGCACTGCTGATAACACTACTACTTCAGCACACACCGCCACTCCTCGCAGTGCAAGTGACACTCCTCCACAAACCACAATCACCGACCTACAGGACAGCATCCACAATCTACCAGGCACAAACACCACACGTCCTTTCACCACAGCCGCACCACATACAATCGCAACAAAAACAGTGGACGCTTGGATTAAAAAACAGCCAGTTCCAAAACAACACCAGGCAGCCCTTCAGGAGGCATTGAGCACATTGCATCAACTCATGAAGAAAATTCCAAAAGCAGAGCAAAGCACGTTTGCAGACAAAGCAGCATCGCTTGGTTTACCAGTGGCACTGGCGGCAAAGGCGCGCAATGAGGAGCTCTACAAGCTGCTGCTGTTTGCGGTCACTCAAATCGAGTGACTAGATCGCGGCGATCCGACTCATGTACAGTTTTCGGCGGCATGCGTTGCGTTTCTCGGATTCTTGCAACATTTTCCACCTGATGATTTTTATGACACTGTTGCTTTTCGAACATTCCTACGTGTTGCAGTTGGTTTTTGTTTTCTTCATTGGTGTACTCACCAGTCTCATAAACAACCATGTCGAAAATGGAATCGGAGATTTGACAGAACATGTTTGAAGTCTGTTCGCACTTTTGTACAGTTGCAACAAATGTTCTGTCAATCCAACACTGTATATATACTTCTTCATGCAATTGTCATATCGGGACTCAACATTCGTCTTTCCAGCACAGAACACTACATTGGCAGTACCATACACACGCTACACGATCGTCAGAACACCAGACAACGCAAGCTGAGACAATTAAAACAAGCACAACCGGTGTCATGCGAATTGGCACTCCATTGGTTTTGCAGCCAAAACAACTATTATCAATTTGTCGCATTGCCGTTACTACACACCAACACAACATTACAAACACGAACGCTGGAAAGCTACATCATCCAAAAGTGGCGTCCACCACTCAACTACCCTTTTATCCTACAACGACAAGTCACAAAACAACATTCAACACCACACTTACGACAAGCACTACGCACCACTTATTTGGGAATCGGAAACCGGCTCTACGCTCAGCTTCGACGACGACTGATGTATCAACAAGTTTTCCAATTTTACGACCACAATCTTTCCAAGCACACCACAGCTTGGGTTCAACTCCACATTCTTGCTGAACAGAGCCAACGCTCATTTGACATGCAACGCCACATTCGATCCAGTTCCACCCACTCCAATCACCTTTTTGCTCTTTACAAACTGGCCAACCAAATGGATGACCCACCACGCACCCGTGTACGCAGCCTTATCAAGTCAGCCATACAATTTCGACAACTACCACTACCACCCACTCCACGACCATTAATTTTACCACTTCTTTGTCACACAACCTTTGCAACACAGACACGCATCTGGCTTCGCCAATTAGCCAGACAACAAAAACCGTGGCTACCACCCTTCCACGTGCCAAAATGCAACATTACAGCAGGCAAACACACAACACTGAAACAAGCATTATTCTCTCACTTCAGTTGGATGAGACAATTTCAGTGGCATATTCCTCCAGCATGCTTATGTCACCAGATCACAACACAGCACCCGCAACTCCTCACCACTACACTCGACAATTCCCCACACATTGCCAGTCCAGCAGGACATCTAACCATTCCATTCCGCCTCCAACAATTCTTATCCACACATGCCGGCACGCAGGTCTATCCTACCAGACAACACTACATCCAATGCACATGGCCAACATTACAACGCTGGCTTCAACACCACAATCTCTTCAACATCACCTATGAACATTGGCACCAACATGTACATGAGCAGTGGACACAGCACTTGACACACGCACAAGAGTCCGTCACGCATCGTGACATCAAATACCTTAAGTCAATCACCAAATCACTAGTGGTCCATGTCGGGACCATGCACCATCAGCCATTTTTGTTTTCTGTCCATACCTCTACGGGACCGTTCTTCGCAGGACTTTTGGAGACACTACAGTTTACACACAGACCACTCTCACACCAACACAAGCAACACAGTTTCTCCAACAACTTGCCAACCAACCTTGGTTGCGCAAATACAAGTGGGGTTGCAGCAGCACCAACCAATGCCCCACGGCCTATGTTCTTTTAAAACAGAAGAAACAATTTCTTGCAGCTCGACCTATTATCAACTATCGCAGGTTTCTTTTCGCAAAACTCCTCAAAGCCACAGCCATTATCCTTCAACAACTACTCCAATCTTGCATGCCAAACACCTTTGGTCTTCAGTCACTTCAACAGATCTTTTCCAATCTCCAACAATTCCTCACACACATACCACCAGACGCAGAGCTTACAGTCCACAATCAAGACCTTGCCGGCTTTTTCACTTCTATTCCAGCACAGCGCATCATGCACTCGGTACGAACACTCCTTGACTTCTACAAACAACAACATCCACATGTTGATCACAATACAATGTTCACTGTCAATCTTCGACAAACAGACAACACCTTGCGGATGTTCCGAGGCCGGCCTCGCAAAGCAGCCAACAGCCATCACCAAATCCGATTCGGCGACATTTATGACATTTGTCAACTATCCTTGCAAGCATCAATCTTTACACACATGAACCACACCTTCCAGCAAGTACGTGGCAGCGCTATCGGCAATCAAATCAGCCCGGTTCTCGCCAACATTACAGTTAGCCATGTGGAACATCAGTGGCGCACACAGCCACAAATCCAATTACTCCTACAACAATTCTCTGACCGTATCTATATCACCAGATACGTTGACAACCGACTTGTTCTTATCGACAAATCACAACAACATCATGCAGGCATCCGGCACTTTCTCACAGACACTTTCTATGAACCTCCGGTTCTCCTTGAACAAGAACCAGACCTATCCTTTCTTGGCTGCACAATCGACCCTGATCGTCAGACCTTATCCTACATACAACCAACCAACACTTGGCAATTCCAACCTTTTGCTTCAGCAGCATCAAAGCAACACAAACTATCAGCAGCATTCAGCCGGATTTGCTTGGCTGCTCGACACAGCTACCCACGTAAACAAGCAAAAGATGATGTTGAGTCCTTAATTCGAAGGTACGTATCGCTCGGATATCCCGAGAAAGTACTACGAGCCAAGGCGTCTCAGATGCTTCGGCATACTTGCTGATTGGTTCTTTGGTCAAGTAGGAGCTTTGATTTAATACCTAATATCCTCACCTCAAACCACCAGTTTTATTCGTCTAGTTTCAAAAAGTAGGTTTGTTTGACTCCTGTTTTCGACATATGTGACTCAAGACCAACAGCACTGAGGGGTGATTTCCTCACATTCAGTCCAGAACAACCACACCGAGGGAAGTCGTTCTTGGAAAAATCGTGCTCAGCGGCTTGATATACGTCTAAGTAAAAACCTTGAATCTAAGGGAGCAACCAGTGGAACAGTAACATCGTGCCCTAGTGGCTTGCTGTGTGTGAGAAACCCTGAATCAAAGGGAAAAGCAGGGGGCCCGTGGACGCATAGATGGCACGGGCCAACGAAGACCCATCTATGTCGTCGTGAAAACGTACCTGCATCCGAAATGGCAAGGTGGCCAAGCCAAAAACCACCCAAGCCGACATGTCATGACATGACATGACATGACATGCTAATGTAACAACACGACATGACGGTTATCATTTCATCTCATTTCACCCTCTCCATTATGGAGTTTACCAAAGTGTGTCTGGCTGGCTGGCTGGCTGTCTGTATGAATCTATGTATCGATGTATCTATCTATGCATGTATGAAGATGCGCCTTTCACAGTTTTGAAGATATTCGCGCTTTGGGAACGGCACGTGCCCCGCCTTACACAATTTGAGTATAAGCCTCGACACAGTCGAACTGCTGTGATTGAGTAGCTTCGGCCGGGACAGCCATGCTGCAGGAGACACCACTGGGAGGGCCAACAGCAACTTACGAGCTCTGCGACTTCTGCGCGTTGGACGCCTCTTCAGGGTTGTGAGGATTATCCGTGTGGTGAAGTTCTTCCGTTCCTTGCGGACCTTAGTCCATTCTTTGGTAGGCACATTGAGGTCGCTCTTTTGGGCCCTATTGCTGCTGTTCCTTGTCACGCATGTGCTTGCCCAGTTGTCTGTTCCAAGAGGGCGCTCGCAATACATGCAGGGTACAATAGGGATATGTTCAGGTTAGTAGTCAGAGCGTATGTCATAGCAGGAATTCGGGTCATACAGTGCACAACCCAGAGTTTAGGGTTTACTGACACAGGAAGCTTCTATGGCAGAATGAAAGCGAAACCAGCCCTACTAGTTGCTAGAATCCGGGTGCACGTCCAAAGTGACTCCTGACAAGGTTCTTGATCATCTATATCTTCGGCATACTTTTTACTGATACAGTTGTGAACCACCTCATTGAGCAAGAGTCCGTGCGCGAGACGTTGACCGAAAAGGAGTTGACCAACTTGGTGTCATTGGACGACTATTTTGGAAGCTTGTATCGATCCACCATTACCTTGTTCCAGACTATCTCTGACGGTGTAACTTGGGACGAGCCGGCGGATGCATTGACATCTATTGGAGATGTGGGCTACTTCTGGGTCCAGTTGTATCACTTTTACATTGCTTTCTGCAGCTTGGCTCTGCTATTCTGTGGTTGTTCTTCCGCTTTTTTGAAAGCCAGTTAAGCTAGAGTGTTTGACATGTTGCAGCCGAACGTGCCAGGCAGTTTTGCCGTCTTGAACGTGATGACAGGCTGCGGGTTATGCATCCTCTGTTTTGTGTTTTGGTCCATTCATGTCCATTCAGATGTCAGTCTCAAAGATCACAGCGCCATGTGAAGGCGTCTTTTGCAACTCTGCCATTAAAGCTGCTGAAAGTGATCACGAGATGGTGGTTCAGTCTTTGGTGCAAACCCGCCAAGAATTGAAAGACCAAGTGTCGGTGCTCTTCCACCAGCTCCTCAGCAAGACAAAGGGGCTGTATACCACAGGTCCTTACAGCACCGCTGTTGTGACGAAGCGGCTGCCCCGTGTTTCTAATGTAACATGTCAACCTTATCAATGTGGGCCGCGCATGGGCACATATCGTCTCATATGCACATTACATCATGCTGCCCTACAGCTCTTTACTCAGGATTGATGAGCGGGGACACGGTCAGATTTCTTTTACAGACTTTGAGAAACTCTTTGGGGACGAAGGGGTGAAGGCCTTCTTCGAGTCTCTGCAAATCGGTGCCGTGGATGCCTGGACTCTCTTTACCACTCTGGAGACTTGTCCCAAGGTTTGCGAGCAGAAAGCTGTCCAATTAGCTTGGGCAAATTTTCGGTATATACGCTACCTCCAAGCTGTGCCACGGTGAGCGGGTGGATTTGTCATTGGTCATAGAGACCTAGAGGTAGAAACTTCGTTGTGGGCACCCTTCAATAGTGAATGGCTGACTAGAGGTAGAAACTTCGTTGTGGGCATCCTTCAATAGTGAATTGCTGGCTATGTTTGTTGTACATTCGGCGCATAAAATTCTGAGTTTGTAAAGACATCGTATGCAAGCGTTAGAGATCACAGCGAAGAACATCCCGGATATATTTGCTGGACGCGGTGGATTTTGAAGCAGCCTTGGCTTTATCTTTGCCGTTGCATCGTAACTCCTGAGCCTGAGCGTGCGCAGCTCTTTACTCCAAATCCTAAGTTCTTGTGCATCATTGCGCTGCTGGGGTTCTATCAGCTTTTCTCAAACTTTGTTCAGGGAAACAGCGGGACAGAGTTGACACATAAGTCAGACACAGATGCGAAGCATGCTCTGCATCCATAGCTTGTATTACGTGTGCCATTCTAAATTCACATGTGCACACTGTCTGAGAATACCCAGCCCAAAACCTGTATGTTGATGAATAAGGAAACCGCGGTGTTATATAGGAACACGCGCGCAGACTTACACGCTCGAATACATACATACATACATACATGCATGCATGCATACATACATACCTACTTACTTACTTAATTACTCACTCACTCACTCACTCACTCACTCACTCACTCCCTTGCTTGCTTGCTTGCTTGCTTGCTTGCTTGCTTACTTACTTACTTACCTACCTTCTTACCTACTTACCTACTGACCTACTTGCCTACTTACTTACTTACTTACCTACTTACTTACTTATTTACTTACTTACTTACCTTACTTTACTTTACTTTACCTCACTTTACTTACTTACTTACTTACTTACCTACTTACTTACTTACCTACTTACTTACTTACTTACTTACCTACTTCCTTACTTATTTGCATACTTGCATACTTGCATACTTGCACATACTTGCAAACTGACAAACTGACATACTGACATACTGACATACATACTTACATACTTCCATACACACATACTTACACACACATACGTACATCATCCATCCATCCATCCATCCATCCATCCATCCGCCCACCCACCCACCCAGCCATCCATCCATCCATCCATCCATCCATCCATCCAACATACGAACACACAAGCAGACAAACAGGCAAACAGGTAAACAACCAAACATACACTACACATGGACACATGTACAAGCACACAAACAAAGAAACATACATCCTAGCATGCATGGATGCATGCATCCAATCATCCGTACATGGATACATAGATACATAGATACATAGATACATAGATACCTAGATACATAGATACATAGATACATAGATACATAGATACATAGATACATAGATACATAGATACATAGATACATACATACATACATACATACATACACATATGCACACATATGTGCAATTGTTCATTTCTTTTTAAATACATACGAGTACATACAAACATACACATGTAGATGTACATATGGAGACATGTAGGTATATAGATGTAGAGATGTAGATACGCAGGTACGTGCATGCGAGCAAAGATGCATAGATGCACCGTTAAAAATATGCAAACGTTGCATATACATACATTGATATGCATATAAAAGGCTACGCCCCCTGCCACCGACCCTTGGTTGGGGAGGCTTGGGTCTGATACAATCCACAGCCAGGGTATCACAGGTATGATGACGCTTTCTCTGGGTAGATGTAGCTGGCTTGATTTCAGTTTGGTTGTTGGTGATGGCCCAGGCAGAGTTAGTTAACATGCTTTTTTCTGGAATTGAAGGGTGAGCCGAGTTTCTTTACTCCTCGGAGTTGCTGATCCATCGTTGATGTCTTGTGTTCCCTTCAAGCTGTCGCTGAAGTCACTGAAGCCCAATAGCCACGTGCGGGACATGAAGTTGGCTTGAATTCCAGCAAAGGAATCCCCCTTGCAATTTCCCATACAGAATGGGTGGCCTTAAGGCCACTACAAATGGGTTTTTATAGGTCATTTTGTAGTGTGGCCACCTTGTAAAAAGGTCCAGGGCCCACTTCAACTTTGGCAGGCCATGGCAATTTGTCGAAAAAATACCGGGGCCCATGGATGAAGATAGAAATTAGTTTGAAAAAGGGAATTTCCAAGGCCAGGCACTTTGTAGTGAAATTACCGGGTCCCATGGAGGACTCTTAAAAATTGGAACCCCTGCATTTTGTGGTGAACCTACTGGGTTTCTGGAAAACATGTACAGTCCCTGTAACATGTTGATTTTGCTAAAGTATTCCACGTGTATATAATTCAATTTTTGAAATCCCCACAGACCCAAGTATCACCTGATTTGCCAGGTTTTTGTTGCTCGCTCTCTCTCTCTCTCTCTCCCCTCGCTCTTTTGTGTGTGGCGGGTATATGTTTTAAATGCGTATGTTGATTATTTGCTGTATAGCCACCCCCCATCAGGCCCTACAAAATGACAGGTCTTCTGCCAGAACGTCTACAATATGTACTGGTGTGTTGTTTACCTTCTTAAGAAAGATCGCAACATTTTTAGTGAAACTATTCTCTTCCATGTCATGCCCCTACAAAATGACAGGTCCCTTTCGAAACCCCTACAAAATGGGTTGCTGTTCTTATCTTATTGCTTCACATGCTTCAAAAGGTCTGGCTCCAGTCTGCGCGGGATATATTTGCGCGCATTTATACATTTTCTGTTCCCCCATCATGCCCCTACAAAGTGAGAGGTCCCCCTCGAAACAGCTATAATATGGTTTGGTGTTTTGTTATTTCCTGTGTGAGGGCAAATTATTTTATTTTTATTTTTTGAATCAGGTTTAGTTCTTTTTTGGATGCCTGCTTCTCTGCTGTTCCTGCTATTCCTGCTTCTCTGCTTTTCTGCTTTCCTGCTTTTCCTGCTTCTCTGCTTCTCTGCTTTCCTGCTTTTCCTGCTTCTCCGCTTCTCTGCTTCTCTGCTTTTCTGCTGTTTTGCTTTTCTGCTTCTTCTGCTTCTCTGCTTCTCTGCTTCTCTGCTTTTCTGTTTTTTTTTTTGCTTTTCTGCTTTTCCTGTTTCTTTGCTTCTCTGCTTTTTTGCTTTTCTTCTTTTTTGCTTTGCCTGCTTCTCCGCTTTTCTGCTTCCCTGCTTTTCTTGCTTTTCTCTTTTCTGCTTCTCTGCTCTTCTCTGCTTTTTGCTTTTCCAGCGTCTTTGCCTTTCATGCTTGTCTGTCTCTGTGCCTTTCTACTTCTATTTTTCTATGCCATCAAGCGTTTTTGCTTCTCTGCTTCTTCCTACTCCTTTGCCGATTGGGGGGAGGGCGCAGCACCTCCCCCCAAAGCAGAATGCAAGCATCTCTTCTCACATGTAATGCTGTCAGCTTTCAAGAGAAGGTTGGTTCGCAAAAATGCAAGCTGCGGACGATGGTCACGGTTAGCATGCACGCCATCATGTTCACCACATCATCATGCCAACCCCAACTAATGTATTTACGAGCTTGGGTGTAAATATAAAAAAGCGGGAGGGGGGATTGGAGAATAAAAGGGCAGAAACATAAAAGCAAAGAGGCAGTAAAGAAAGGAAGCAGAGCGAACCTCGTTTCGTGCGAAAGGGTTACGATTGGACCCTTGAAATTGCAATTTCACCTCAGTTTTTGGCGATCGAACCTGGTTTCGTGCGAAAAGGTTGCGCGGGACGACTTGGACATGGCGATCGAACTTCATTTCGTGCGAAAGGGTTGCGCCGGACAAGTTGAAATCGCAATTTTACCGCAGTTTTTGGCGATCGAATTTCATTTCGTGTGAAAGGGTTGCGCGGGACAAGTTGAAATCGCAATTTTACTTCAGTTTTTGGCGATCGAACTTCATTTCGTGCGAAAGGGTTGCGTTTCGTGCCGTCTCGTTGGCACTGCCCCTGCCCCCGCCTTCAAGAGAGAAATAGAAAAGAAGGAGAGGGCAAGAGGGCAAGAGGGCAAGAGGGCAAGAGGGCAAGAGGGCAAGAGGGCAAGAGGGCAAGAGGGTAAGAGGGCAAGAGGGCAAGAGGGCAAGAGGGTAAGAGGGTAAGAGGGTAAGAGGAGAAGATGTGAGGATGAGAAGATGTGAAGATGAGAAGATGTGAAGATGAGAAGATGAGAAGATGAGAAGATATGAAGATGAGAAGATGTGAAGATGAGCAGATGAGAAGATCTGAGGATGAGAAGATGTGAAGATGTGAAGATGTGAAGATACGAAGAGGAGAAGATGTGAGGATGAGAAGATGTGTGAGAGGATGTGAAGATGTGAAGATGTGAAGATGAGCAGCTGTGAAGATGTGAGGATGTGAAGATGAGAGGATGTGAAGATGAGAGGATGTGAAGATGTGAAGATGTGAAGATGTGAAGATGAGAAGATGTGAAGATGTGAAGATGGGAAGATGTGAGGATGAGAAGATGTGAAGAGGAGAAGATGTTTTACAGACCCCCACTATTGGAAGAACCCTGTGCTCAGACGCTCTCGGGAATCACAGAAATATCATGGAACTGCCAAAGGAATCTCACAGAAATCCCATAAGAATCTCAGACATTTCCTATAGGAATCCCATAGTAATCCCATAGAAATATCATAGAAACATCATGGAACTCCCATAGGAATGCCATAGGAATCCCATAGGAATGCCATAGGAATCCCATAGGAATCCCAAAGAAACCCCATAGAAACATCATAGAAATACCATAGAAATCTCATAGGAACCCAATGGGAACCTCATAAGAATACCACTGAATTCCCATAGCACCCCTTCAGAAATCCCATAGAAATCCTCTAGAAATACCATAGAAACATCATGGAAATTTCATAGGAATCCCATGGAAATCTCATAGTCATCCTTTTGAATCCCCATACAAATCCCATAGAAATACCATTGACACCCCATAGAAATCCCATAGTAGTCCCC